ATTTCTTCAGCCAATTCGAGCAGCAGAGGTCTAAAAAAGTGAATATGGTTAACGGGCCAAGCAGCTTCGATTTCTCAAGTTCATGGTCTCATAAGACAACTGAAGTGGGGAGTATGAGGTATAGTCGAGTAGATTTTCCGCTTAATATAGTGCGCATTATGTGCTTAATATACTGTAGGTGAAATGCGGAAAAATTTGCGTGTAAACACTTAGCCACGCCAGGGCCCGGCACAGATCGTCTAGAAAACAAGCTGGACTCGTTTTTGGAGCAAAAGCAAAGGAGATATCGTTTTTGACACAAGTCGGGGCGAGCACCAAGAATAAGTGCCATTTAATCGAACACAAGCTTTTCGAACAAGTTATCCACGACTGACATGCTCTATCGTGTATGGCGAAAAGTGCGCTCGATTTGAAAACAAGGTTAAAATAAACAAATTGCTTGTTTACTGCGCGAAACAGAGTCGTATGACGCCAAAATGAGCTGTACACATAGAAAGTTATTTGCAAAAGAATTATGCAAAAAGATTTGAAAACTTATGTGAAGTATTACCTTTTGCAATTAGTCCGTCTCCAGACGGCCACTTTTTGTCGCTTCACATAAGTTTTGGATTTTTCTATCATGGACGGATTTCCCAGTAAAAAATCTATCTTTGAGCATAATAACATTTTCGTATTCACTGCCTTTCCTTCGTTTTTGCCTCAATTTTTTTCATAAATCGCTTTGTTAAATATCGCGCTCCAATGCCAAAATCTTGTGCATGCGTAGTATTCAGCTCCAATCTGAACTTTCATCTTATCTCATGTTTTTTCTTTCAGGTTAGTAAATCTTTCTTATTTCCATCTTTTCCTAAGTAGGTAGGTCAAAGGGGACTTCGTATAGTTATCGAAATTCAGGAGAGACTTCGTTTTCAGAAAACCCTAGAAACCGACTCGTGCCGGGCCCTGAGCCACGCCAATAATACCAGTATTCTCGCGCGCACTTAGTCGGCATCACAGGCGCAGCTATTTGTTCATGCGCAAATTTCACCGCACCTCACCTACAGCGCAAGCACACTGTATTACACGGTGAATCTACTCGACTGTAGACACAAAGAAGTATGCAATCACTGTATCATTATACAGATGATCTGGCAATATGGCGTGACATCTGCAAATGGAACGAGTTTTGCCCGATACTATCCTCTGTCTCGATAACAGTGTCGCCGGCTCGCAAATCTTGGGACCCACGCGCTCACCTCGCCGACTAAGGGGCCAGCCAAAATCTCGTTCATCATTTTCAAACCTTCCCAACCCTGATTTTCACTAATGTGCTTGCGTGAAAACCCGGGAAAATTTTAGTTGATTATAGGACGTTCGCGCAAGGCGCGGAGATTGCGCAGGGTGTGTACTGCGCATCGCTCGTCTTTCACCTCTCCCAACTATGTACTACCTTCAATGGACGCAACAGCATTAGGCCCCGGTCAGACTTCACGCGACTTAATCGTCGCGACCAAATCGCCAAGATTTCCATTCATTTTCATTTCACATTCAAAAATTTCGGGCTGGAAAAGTATCACAACCGAATGCAAGTTGATCGACATGGAATGATGTTGTAACAGTTGTCTCGTCGCGATTCAGTCGCGACGATCAAATCGCGTGAAGTCTGCCCGGGGCCTTATTCTCCGAGCACAGGCGGACGGCCTATATCACCTATCGGTTTCTCGCTATCAACGGGCTTTTGATCTCACCTTATATCGAATGAGCATCATGGTGCTCTTTTTCAAGATCGGCTAGGTCTTGAGGACTCATAGAAAGGATGAATCGTAGCACACACAAAATGGACTATACACGACGAGAAACGGTGAGTAGACTAAAGGAGTTGTGACCTATGGCTCCCGCCAGAGTGCCGGAGTTATGCCAGCGCTACGCCAGCATTTCGATCGATACACGTGTATTTTGTTGGGGCGGGGCTAGCTGACGTCCCCAACGAAATACACGTGTATCGGTCGAAATGCTGGCGTAGCGCTGGCATAACTTCGGCACTCTGGCGGGAGCCTATGCAATGCTGAAGAGGACAAAGACAGGTGTTCAGTCACGTACGCGCTGAAGACGCGCATGCGCATTTATACGGTGTGCGGGACTACGCATACTCATAGGTTAAACGCACGGTACACCCTAAGTTGGAGGTCTTGAGCTTTTGGCAGCTTACCATGGTAGAACCCTCTATCAAGCCAGTGCCCAAGTCGCGGCTCAACTCTTCGGAAGCGAGGAAATCGCTTAGGATTAGCGAAGAGATATGACGACCTCAAGTCGGCATCGCCCCTTCCATTAATGCCCGCCCATACGTGAGCGCTCATCCAATCATCGTTCCGAAGAACCGGCCTTCGGGTTTTCCGAAACGGGGATTGTCGGAGTTCGCGGATTCTCAACTTCGTATTCGGAATGTGGGACATGAGAAGCCCCGTTACGATCAAAACATGGAAGTCGAGAATCTGGATAGACGGTGCCTTTGAAGGCAGAGGCTCAATAGATCGGTAGCCTTGAAGTATCGTTTTCAATCCCCCTGGATGGGCTGAGTCCAAAACTGTGCTTTGAAGCTTGTGAAAATATACGTAGCTTGCTTCCCCTATGTGGAAAGTGCTGAATGGGTGGGGAGCGAAAGCCCGTCCTCTAGAGAGCATTGGCTCGTAGGATCTGGATGGATGAAGATACCCTACCCATCACGGCGGCAATTGGATTATGGGTTCCAGCAGCCAATGCTTCTAGTCTGGAAAAGCGAGTCATTGATACCTTCGAAAGTTGCAAAAACAGTTCTAGACCCAGCTCATCCAGGGAAATCAAGAACGATAAACACTCCAAAGCTGCCAATGTGCCAAGCCACTGACTATAGGGCTAATCCCTGACGAAGGCTGTCCGTTTATTGTTTTGAGTGTGCGCGAACTTCAAGCATCTTTCGTCGTACACCCGCGCGTCTCGGACTATCCTTTGGTTACCGTTTTCTTTTGCGATCCTCCTGCGCGCCGCAACCAAAAACGCCGCACACAGAATGGGATTGATGCGATTTTGGTGTCCAACAATAGCGGGGCCTTATTTGTACATTTGCCCAACTCGCGCTGCCAAAAGTTGCTTTTGAAGCGAGAAAATTGCTTTGAAATTGCTTCGGATGACGGATTCGCCACGCTGGTTCCCCCCCCCCCCCCTCCCTGTGAGTGGACATGACGTTAGTCCCGCCCATTCGTGCGCACCTAAACGGGTGCAGGACGTTAGGTCGCCGAAAGAGGGTGGTCCCCGCGGTCATTTGCGACAAATACGCACTCTTGTACATACACGGACATGCGTTCCTGCAGGGAATCCGCGCGGGACTTTTCCAAATTCGGCGACCTAATGTCCTCCACCCCACCTAAACCAATCACAGTCCGGAGAACTGGCGTTGCGGGTTCTGCAAAAGGAGATTTTCACAGATTCACGATTGATATCCGGAATCAGGAACATGAGAAGGCCCCGGAATGACAAAAACATAGAAGTTAAGAATTTGAGTAGACGGCGTTTTTGGGGTGCCTGTTGCATGTCGTTCCAGGACCAGCAGTCCGCGCGGGCGACCGAGGCTGACGGCTTTCGTTTCCCGTCCCCCAGTCCGCGGATGGCGGGACTTTGAGCTAGCGTGCCGCTTATACTCGAGCGTTGAATGGCTGCAACCTTGCTTCTCTTTTTCGTTGCGTTTTGTACTACCAAATTTCCTGGTGGATCCTTCGGTATCCTTCGGCTTCGGGCGAAGCGGGATTTGGGGTTCATTTTCAGGTTGGGGATTCATTCCGGCACTCGGGTGCTCTTTGGGGCCAACTCTTTGCGGAGAGCCACTTCCACTAGCGCTACCGATATCCAAAACCCGACACCTAAATCCATAAAACAACGAAATGGCTAGATCACCGAGTCGTACTTCATGCGAGTATGCATTGCGCTCATAGCGTGTGAGAATTAGAGGCGCGGGCCCCGATTCGTGCAATTACGCCACCTTGGGCACGCCTCTTTGGGGGCCTTTCCAGCTCGACAATAGGCTGCAGTTCGCAGGGACTTGGTTGCTCGCAGCATCCCTGCCCTTTCCCTTCCTGTCCTGTCCTACTGTCAAGCTGAAAAGGCTCCAAAAAAGCACGCTCAGGGTGCTGTGATTGCACTAGTTGGGGCAGTCGCCGACGAATATCCTTTACGCACGAATAAGGCGCGCGGGTCGCGAAATGCGTGGCCACGCCCATAGATCAGGTGCGCTGGCCGCACGCACCAGGTGCCTGAGTAGTTAGATACTGGACTTAACAGCGAACGTAAACAGCTTGCCACTTGACTGAGCGGGTGCGGAGCAGTTACAAACAGCATTCGCACGCGCTCATGCTCTAAGCATTGTTCGAGCATGTCATCTGCTTCTCTCTTTCTCGGGGAGTTAGTTGGGTTGTTTGGTTTCCGATCATAGGCTTTCAAGTGCACGCCGGAGTCAATACGGGCGTTGTGGTAAAGTAAGCCGGACGAAAGCAAGCAAATATAGGCGATTCGTTGCACGCAAAGATTGCGGACGTATCGGCGTCTCTCCGATCAGGCGCTCTTTCGTTTCTCTTACCACCTGCTGTCTCTCCCAAGCACCAGCTATCTTGGTTGGACGCAGCGGCGTCCAGTCCTTACGTGTTTTGAATCGCCGATACTATGCGTCACAAGCATGCTACGCACCATGCCAACTTCCGTGCTGCAGTCGCTTTTCCCGAACGAAGCGGACTATAGACATGGAATTATAAAGGGTCAAAGCATTAGATTTCGTAAAGATGAGGTTTTTGATGACTTGTGGCATAGATATTTGCAAACATGAAGTGATCTATAACTTCATGAACTTTTTGCATTCCTTAGATTTTCTATATTTTTTGCATTACGAATGACGCTAATCGACGGTGACATTGTTCTCCACTTATTGAAACATCAATCATCTTCGTGAATTGTGTTGCTTTGTAACCTGTGACTATTGGAACAAAATTGTTTGGACAGGTACACAAATTGCTAGTGATTATGAGATTTGCTGCCTTCTGCAACAAAGATATCGATATCAATTTTGATCTGAAAAAGAATGCTCGGATGTATCGGACGTGATCTTTCTGTGCACTAGTGTTCCAATTCGCTGGTCGTAACCAATTCCGGTGACGCTATCTGTCCTCGATGGATACGCGGAGGAACAGTCGATTCGAGGTCAAACGCTTCATATAGATTAATTAAGGATGATAAAGAGCGAAGCGCCTTTTGAATATTAACCTGTCTAGTGCCGTTGTTTAACAGCACCAGACGGCATTTTGTGACAAAACCAAAGGTGAAGGTTCACTCAGAAACATCTTATGCATACTTTTTTTTCAGGTTTTTAAGACGGAGCCTGATGATGATTTGGAAGTGGACATCAACGAGAAGCCAAGTGCAAATGAGCCGCTTCCATCTAGAAATGTGATAAAACGGAAAACTAGTTCCTCGGGTAGATTTGTGGTTAGTTTCATTTGATTGAGAATTGTTTTATCTCAATATTTTCTCTTTTGTGCTAGCCCTAGCTTTGGATCCTTATTTGTATGCAATGTTCACATATCCATATAGTGCGACTGTGTTTTTCCCGAAAGCACTCGCTCAAAAATGGGGCAACTTGCAGAAAATGTGCTTTGTCAAGTGTTGTCGGCTCATAAGCGTCGCAATTTTTTTCGGTCGAACGGTGTAGGCACCGCAAAGGCACATTAATCGTCAGAATTAGTACATTGTAGATTGCTTTGTTGTTGAGACTTTCGTTCGTTTGCTAACCTATTCCCGACTCTTCTGGATTAGCGTAGACCTGATTTTTTATCCTTTCCACCGCGAATAAGCGAGCCAATCAGAATTTTCTCACAGAACTAAAGTGCACTGCACGAAGTCGCGCGGGTCGCTGTAGGCTGAACACAGCGAGCGTGCCTGCAACGCGGCTGCCGAGGGGGGGGGGTACGGGCGCTATGAAGACATGCATGCGAATGCCAAAATTACCCCCCCCCCCCCATAGGTGCGATAGTGTGAGAATTTGCTCACCCCCCCCCCCCTTCACCCCTGAGCCGGAAACCAAGGTGACCCCCTTCACCAAAACCGACAAAAAAAATCAACAGTGAGGTAAGGTTATGCCTGATAAAATGACCACGCTATCAACCTACTTGTAGGCTCTACAGTCAAGAAGCAAGTGAAGGGCAATCGTGGCATTCTTCCAGCTATGTCCTTAGATTTATAGGCAAAATTTGAAAAAATTCAATTAAAAATTCATAACGTTTGTAGATGAACAGCTAGTACAAGGAAATGCTCACCATTGAAACCGTTTCTTCCTCTGCTTTCAGAAAATATATAGATTGTCTGGGATCCGTTGGAAAAAGTCCATGGTGAAGGGGGTGCCTAGTGATTTCTGGAGATTTTCGAGTTTTCAACATAAAAAAATTCATAACTTCTGTAGATGAACAGCTAGTACACGGAGATGCTCACCATTAGAACCGTCTCATTCTCCGCTTTCAGAAAATATATAGTTTGTAAGGGATCCCTTGCAAAAAGTGCCTGGTGAAGGGGGGGTGAGAATTTTATAACGGGAGTTCTCAGGTAGACGTCTTTTTACAATGGTGAAAAGGCCTCTGCCTGAGAACTCCCGTTATAAAATTCTCACCCCCCCCCTTCACCAGGCACTTTTTGCAAGGGATCCCTTACAAACTATATATTTTCTGAAAGCGGAGAATGAGACGGTTCTAATGGTGAGCATCTCCGTGTACTAGCTGTTCATCTACGGAAGTTATGAATTTTTTTATGTTGAAAACTCGAAAATCTCCAGAAATCACTAGGCACCCCCTTCACCATGGACTTTTTCCAACGGATCCCAGACAATCTATATATTTTCTGAAAGCAGAGGAAGAAACGGTTACAATGGTGGCCACCTTCGTGTACTAGCTGTTCATCTACAAAAGTTACATTTTTCTTTTGGAATTTCGTGACTGTCTAAGAATCCTCTTAGTTTTGTCGATGCACACTTGATTTCAATATGCATTTCCACTATGATATTCTTAATTATTGAACACGTTGCAAATTTACTCCGTGTTCCATTTTCGCGGTTCAACTAGATATCCTTTATTTCACCCTCCTTGGTTTCTTTTCAGTTCTTGATTCTAGGATTCCTTTCTTTTGTGAATGTAAGAAGACACTTAATCATGAACTGTTACTAAAGGCAAATGAGGTTGTGAAAGGAACGATGCCGTTCCTGGCGGCGCGTTGTGTGTAATTGCACACCCACATTCACACACGCACTCACCCCCCCCCCCCAACCCCCCCCCCCCCACCCCCTCTGACCCCCTTCACCCTGGAGTGGCTGCGACCACCGTGACCCCCTTCACCCTGGAGAGGTCATTCTCACCTTATCGCACCTATGCCCCCCTCCCCCCCAGAGACACCCTTACGGGGGTAGAGGAAAGTTCACCTCAATTAGGCATCATTTCCGCGGGCTGCTGGTCCTTTCGTCCTAGTGTTGAGCATCGTGTTGGGACCAGTAGTCCGCGGACGGTGCCTAGTTGAGGTGTTCGTCCCTCCACCCCCTCACGGGCGTTCAGCCAGGGCGATTTCGCGCAGTCAACTATATCAAATTACCAATCTCTTTGAGTGGCTGCTAGTCGACTGCATACCTTCGGCATAGATCGGTCTCAACCATTTTAAGAGATTATTGATGTACATTTTCGTGCGTAAATCTCACAGCATTTCCAAGCTTTGCAACCAACAAATCTGCATATCTACACAGTCAACTTAAGTGCCTTTTTGATGTTTCTTTGCGATAAGTCACAAGTGACTTTGTAGAAGTACAGTGAAAATATCGTAGGGAGGAAACTTGCATTTTACTATTACACCCAACTTTAGGCTAATAGATCTGGCGGCATCTATAGTGCTTTTGTGGTGCAGACCCTCGCCGACAACATTCGCGTGAGCAAATCGTTACTACTACGCGCCATAGTTGATCTACTTGATCCGCTTGGTCCACTTCATTTACTTCACTACTGGTCATTTCAATGAATAGACCAGTGACGAAGCTGACCAAGTAATGGATTAGGCAGATCAAGTGTCAGCAATTTTCGCGTGCAAAATGGCGGAGAACGCACATCCTCAAATTACTCGTTAAATCTGTGCTACACAGAAATGTGCACAAGACGTTCGAGACGTTGCGCAGTTCAAAAGGACTCGCTAGGCTCGACATTATATCGCAGTAACCCAAAATTTGCATTTGCTTATGCCTACGACTCTTTTATCACAACTGTAAACTTATGATGACACCACCACGTACTCTCTTTCTCTTCCAGATAGAAAACCTCAATGGTGTAGGGGAGTGCTCAGGCGATGACCAACATGAAGGGACGCTCAACGACGAAGCTTTCGCGGAAAATGGTGACGCTTCCAGTGAGGTGCCTGCGCAACGACTCAAAGGGGTACGTTTTTGCAGTCTTGTTAGCACTTCTCGGTCAAAGGGACAGATGGTCACCACTAATTAGCAATGATATGTTTGAAATAGCTGTCGCTTCAATTTCCGTTACCACCGTGACGTTCTTTTGCACTTTGCAGGTACATTTCTCAGTTGGAGATAAAGATCAGGAGGACGAGCGAAAACGAGAACAGGCGGAAAGTAACACAACTGTTAACCTAAAAAGTTGGCGGTGAGTAGCGCCCATCATTTCTACACTTCTAACTTATTATGGAGGCTCAAACAGAGTCAGCTGAATCATCAGTACTCCATATATCAATCACGTAAGCTTTCTTGTAAGTTCCATCATTATTAAGTAGATCTTGTTCACTACATGATTTTATGAGAAATCACAGAACAAGATGAGCTCGCAAGTTCACGAAGTGAAAAACTCTGGAAGGAGTGGCCATTAGTGGCACAAACAACTAGCATTCACATCAGTGTCGGATGTGTTTCGCGGGATGCGGCGATAGTTTGCCGCAAAAAGGTGTCACTGTAGTTCCACTTTTTTGATGGATCCTTTTCACAGTTGGCGCTCTTTGCTATTCTTCTTCTTCAATTGTTTAAAAGGACACTGATATAATTGATTAGACAGATGTCTAGTCGAGGATCATTCAACTACTTAAGGATACTCATAGGTCCTTTAGGGGCTTCTTTATTGTTATTTGACTATAATGAGTCTCTGTCGTGTACTTGCACACAAGCTTAACCTTTTGGGGCCAACTGCTGAACAGTGTTGCCTGTGATGGATTGGCTCTCCTTAGCTTGTTTGAGGGAGGGAATGGAAAAGGCTGCTATCCTCATGTTGTCGGAAACACGTTACACAGTCTACATAATAACATTCTCGGCTTCTTTTTTCTTTGTTACCAATTTTCTCCTTGCGTGTCAAAGATTGACAGCTCTCTGAATGACTGAAATTTTGGAAACTGTGAATCAATCTCTAACGTTGCGATTGTGCAGGGTGTTTCATAAATTGTCATTTCGTTTGATCGTCAATAACTCTCTTGCTTTAAAGTTTTACCTCGCTCTTAGAGTATCATTCAGTAGAGGCTGGTTTCAATTTGAATTTACAGCTTACGAATCACCGATCGCTCTTCATCGCTGTAGGATTACGGTGATTTCACCATGTAGCGCCATTAAATAGGCTATTTGGGGAAAAGATTCCAAAAAGTCAGAGTTGTGCAGCAAGATTTTCACGCATTGTTTTCACCACAGGCTCTTTAGGCCCCGGGCATACCTCACGCGATTTCAGTCGCGACGCGACTTGGCAATACTCAGTTGCTTATAATTCGTCGCAAACTCAATTTGAGCACGCGGAAAATAGCACACGTTATCGACTCACAAAGGTTGACACCAAGCCTTTGTGGTCTGCGAATGTTGGGTTTGAAGAGATCTGGCCAATGACCAAATCACATGGCGACTGGAATCGTATCTTGGTCATTTGATATGCCCAGCGTTTTACAGGTTTTCACCAGCTTTCGGAATGGTGCTATCGCCTTTTTGAGGAGTTTCTGAGAAAAGAGCTTTACAGTGTACCTATAACTTGTGAAAAAAGCATTACTGTATATTGCGAACTTATAATGTGAGAGCTTTTAAGTTGTTTGATTTTACTCGAACAATAATGGGAAGGTGACCTTCATTTGCTTTAAAATCTTCTTCAGGCTCTTCCGTAATATCGCAGTTATGAAGGGTGATCGGTGATGTGCTCCATACCGTAAATCTTGAGTTGAAGTTAGCTCTTTGGAATGAGACTTCAAGAGCAGAAATGACAAGCAAGAGAATTATTAGTATAGTTGTAAGGGAAGAAAATTTTCATCGAATGAACGAATATCGAATGATTGGTCTTTGAAAAATTTGCGAATGAAGGAATATCGAATAACTTATTATTGAGGATTATGAATCTTATATATAAAGCTGAATGTCTGTTTGTCTGTATGTCTGTCTGTCTGTCTGTCTGTATGTACGTAAGTTCCGAATAGAAAATTCCATTTCTGAACCGATCGGGACCACACTTGGCACACATACACTTCGGGCCCCGGCGGGTGTCATAGGCTACTTTTCGTCATCGATCAATATCGATTTTATCGATTTTTTTGCAAAATTTGAGCTACGGGGCTGGGAGTTGGCACAGGGGGGTAATCGAGCATGCTAATCACCCCCGTGGGGGTGATCAGCATGCTCGATTACACCCCCTGCCAAATTCCAGCCCCCTAGCTCAAATTTTGCAAAAAATCGATAAAAGTGACGTCGATCGATAATGAAAAGTAGCCTATGACACCCGCCGGGGCCCGAAGTGTATGTGTGCCAAGTTTGGTCCGGATCGGTTAAGAAATGGAATTTTCTATTCTGAACATACGGCGGAGCCGGGTAAGACAGCTAGTGAACGAATATCATTTGATTCTCGATATTTCTTTTCGAATTCCGAATATCCGAATACGGGAAATTTGGATTTTCTAATGTTCGAATTTTCAATAATCGATGACATCCAGTTGTTCGAAAATTTGAATAATCGCATTTATGACCATATTCAGTTGTTCGAATATTCGAATTTCAGAAAATTGAATATTGAGATGTGTCCATATTCGAATATTCGAGTTTGAATAAGATGATCGGAAATCAAATGTATTTCGTTCTCGAAAAAATATAAATCAATTATTCGATATTCGTTCATTCGATAAAAATTTCCGCTCGTTTCAGCCGTAGTAGGGACATTTTTCGTAATTCTCTGTGTATAAAAGTGGATGATGTTAAAGCCATATTTATTCAGCGAACAAACCCACGTATGCTTGCATTCGAAGTTGCTCACAAGAGTAATCTAAATTAGGAAGATTGTTTTACCATTGCACCTATGGAATCTGCCTTTGCCTCACAATACAATACATTTGATGTTATCTTATGATTATTAATCTCTACACCATTTCTGTGAACCGCACGCAAGATCTTGGACTCTAGTAGAGAACGTCTGGTTTAAAGGTGATTAGCTGACAGTCTTCACGCAGCGTGCTTTTATTGTAGTACTAGCTGGCTTACCCGGCTCCGCCGTATGTTCCGAATAGAAAATTCCATTTCTTAACCGATCGGGACCAACTTGGCACACATACACTTCGGGCCCCGGCGGGTGCCACAGTCCACTTTTCGTTATCGATCGATGTCGATTTTATCGATTTTTTGCAAAATTTGAGCTAGAGGGCTGGAATTTGGCAGAGGGGTGTAATCGAGCATGCTGATCACCCCCACGTGGGTGATCAGCATGCTCGATTACCCCCCCCCCTGTGCCAACTCCCAGCCCTGTAGCTCCAATTTTCCAAAAAATCGATAAAGTCGATATCGTTCGATGACGAAAAGTAGCCTATGACACGCTCCCTGCCCCGAAGTATATGTGTGCCAAGTTTGGTCCAAATCGGTTCAGAAATGGAATTTTCTATTCGGAACATACGTACATACAGACAGACATACAGACATACAAACAGACATTCAGCTTTATATATAAGATGTAGTTTCCTCCCGAGTTCGAAATATTGTATGAGGTAAATTTCTCGTTCTACGCCTTTCTTTGGATGCCTAGGATATATGATATAAAGTAGCAACCGCGGCAAACGCAATTTGAAAGAACAGGAAGTGAGCTCGTAATGCATCTGAACTTGGCCCTTAGAAATATTTTCTAGGGGAATGGTTGCTCCAAAATTGCAATTACATAAACTTGGTATCAGGACGGTCATATCTTCAACTTACTACTACAAATCTTTCTTGTTCTCAAATCATAGTATACATTCTGTCCACACCATTTTCTCAAATGTAACAAAATATCAGAGAGCTGTTTTCCTGACTGACAACCTGCCAAGTCTGTGCATTGCTTTCAACATTTGACATCAAGAAGGAGACTAAAAGCTCTTTTATTTACAAGATTATCAAGCTAAACTGATTTCGGAATTCTAAAATCAGTCCGAAGAATTGCCCTCAGTATTGACCAAAAAAGAAGCTTGGTATGATTTTCACTGAGAGTGAAAGACTCTAGTTGAAATTCTGAGTACAGTCAATTAGGTGCATATGTTAATGTTTTTCCCCTCTAGATTGCGTGAGAATGATGAAGAATTTTATGTTTTTATTGTAGAGTAAATTTGACTGTTTGCACTAGTGTACCTTCAATTTATAATTCAGCAAATTTATATAATTCATTGCAAAAATGTGGGTCTAGACTCTTGAAATGAAATAGACATGAATAGTAAGGTTATTCGATGTTCCTCTGTAAGCTAAAAGTGGGAAATTCGCATTGCACCTGACTTAATTCTGTGCATGATATCGTTTCTATGCCCTAAAAATGCGGGTTTGCAAAACGTTCATACTGATTCGTCTGAGCTCTCAAAATTTTGTAAATCACAAAAGAAACGTTTTCTATGCCCTTTCGAAGAACCTCTGTTTGTGATCCTGAATTTGACAGTACATCTGTCTTGGAAGTGTAGGATATTGCAGAGATAACTCTTAGGAAGTTCTTCTCACGAAAAATGTTGCTACCTAATCATTATGGTCGCTATATAATGCTCGTGCTTTGTGCAGCGAATGAATTCATCTACAGAATTTTTGTTACAACAACACAAAACTTTACTTCACGAAAGAGTAATTGCTTGAATTTTCCGGTTAATCTTGATATTTTCTGATATCATGCTCACACACAATCATCTTCTTACGGTTGGGGAATCTCTTTGATCTTGCTTGCAGTCAGGGGCAGCATATCTGCTATGCCTATTCCGATCCAACTCTGCCAATGTCCAGGGAGGTCTCAAATCTTTGCTAAATATGTGTGTAGTTTTCAATCCAAATAAAAATCTCTGAACCGGCTCCGAAGATTGCATGCATTCACTTCGAAGCGCCGATTCAATATAGGTAACTCCTGGTGAGAGAAGCAAGCGATTATTACCTCAAGGCGCTGATGCATTGGTACCGGAGGGGGGGGGGGAGGGAGTTTGCTGGTTACAGATACCACCTATGGTAGCTGGCATAATACATCGGTGCTTTTTCTCGATTGAAATCACTTTTACAAACCAATCATAAAAATACGGGGTGTCCCAAAAGTGAGTACACACTTTTCATTTGTCAGTATCTCTCTTCCCAATGGGTCTTTTTTTGCCAGTCAAGTATCATTCTGTAGAGGAGTCTTCAACTTGGATTTACTTCGATCTAATCACATCGCTTTTCGTTACTGTGAGATTACGGCAAGAACTTCCAGCATGTGGAACCATTTGAAACATGCCATCTGACAGAATTTTTTTTCAAAAAATCTGAAAAATCGGGTGCTAGGGATTTCGCGCACGCTGATTCCACTACACAACTTTTTATGGATGTTTTCGGCTTTTTTGACGGTGTAATCACATTTCTGACAAATACTGGGAACTCAATTATTTCGGTTTACCTGGAATACTGTGGAAAGAAGCATCAAAGTAAAGTGGTAATTTCGTATTCGGAATCAGCGGCTTCCATTACCATAATATGAGTTTTGCTTGCTTGGTTTTGTTCCCAGGCAGGATATGGCTTCTAATGGCCTAAAATCCTTTTCGAAGTTCCTACAGTACCGTACCTACAGTAGTGAAGGGCGATCGGTGATTCGCTCGATACTGCAAATCTAAGTTGAAGCCTCCTCTAAAGAATAGTACTTATGGCAGAAAAGTACACAATGGGAAGAGAGATATCAACGATTGAAAAGTGTGTACTTACTGGGACACCCTGTATAAGAGCAGTTTTTGGTTCGTCCTGTGTTAGCTTTTCTTGAATTTTCCAATTAATTTTCTTTACCATAAGTTCTTTGCTAAGTCCTAGTCTAGCTCACAAAGATGGAGATGGTAATGCTTATAGTGGTTTTGTGCTCAAAATCAGGATGCTTCCTAATCTGTGCCTAGATACCATATTTGGGCCAGACTGGGGAATTCTGGAGTTTAATAAACCGATAGTTCTTGTTGACCAAAAGTGATGTTTGTGATCCTCCCGGTATGCATGCAAGGGCTGATTTTGATCTGTTCAACTTGGAACCTCAAATACACAAGGACTTCCATCCAGTCAGACTTCGAAAAGGAAAAATGCTTTCAAATTTAGAACAGGGATAGGTTGATAGGGAATCTGCAAGCCTTAATGAGCCAGATCAATTTCATCCCTTCTTCGAGCTCACATTATCAACAGTGGACAAATAGGGATTAGCAGTTTTAGAAGAGATGGTGATTTTTAGTGATGCAATTGGCGCGTACTGAGCGAACGCGAACCAGTTGGTAGCTTATCGTCATACTTCACGGCGTTTCAGTCACTACGCTGTTTGAAGATTTGTCAGATTTATTCATATCATATCAACAGTTACAGTTCCCAAAGCATAATGTATGTATGATTCAAGTGAATTGATGAAATTTCAACATTAAATTAGAGGTCTTTGGAGTTTTGCCAAATCGATGGCGGCTGGGAACTTGGAATTTCCGAGACCTCAAAAACTATTGCTCTCGTTGGACAACGGACTTTAAATTGAATATAGCACGTCGCTTGTCCTAAATTCTTTCTACCGCTTCAGAGAGATCTTTTTACCACGTAATGTCTACTTGGTGTTTGACAGCATTAGCGCGAAACGTCATTGGAATGACAGTCTATTAGTTGGCTTTCCTGAAGCGACTGAAATGGTGCTTTCTAGGGCTAATTCTTGACAGCAGCGTTTAAGATTAACATTTATCGGTGAAACTGAGAAAGGAAAACGAAATGGAGGTAGACGAACAGGGACTAGAAATGTACGTCACATTTGAACAAGTGCTTGTCACTAACTCGAAGGTTTAGAAATATGAAGACGCTCGAACATCCGCCAATTATGGATTTTTACCGCAACTCAGTCGATAATGGGGATGGAGTTGGAGCCGTGCGACCATCGATGCTCCAGCTTATTCATGGTGATAAGACCATACCGGAAGAGATTGAAATTGAGGGGTTCAAGGTACGCATCTTGTTCCACTTGACCATCCATTTCTAAGTCGACAGTTATAGAAGCAAAACGATGAGTTAGTGGAAGGACAGATACAAAAGAAGCCATCAAAATCGCACATGGAAAAATTCTCACCACCACCAACACAGGCATGCAACTTCGACATTTATATTGGTATTCTCTCACCAGACAAGCTTCTAAATGTAACTTTTTCGCATATAGGCTCGCGTAAAATTTGGCTGGATAGAGGGAGTTTTCAATCGATGCATTCTCAATATTTTTGGTGTGATGTTATATTTACGAATCAGTTGGACAGCAGGTCAAGCTGGACTCGGTAAGCTTCCGCTTTTCAATTTTTTCGTCTTTAGTGAACAAACACTATTTTGAACAGGCCTTGGAAGCATGATAGTGTTGCTAGCGTCTACTGTTACATTCATTACGGCTATCTCTACTTGCGCAATCTGTACAAACGGAGATGTGAAAGGAGGCGGTGCTTATTTTTTGGTCAGTAACTTAGCCGCTCAAAATATTGCTGTCAAATTCGGATAATTGCAGATATCGCGCTCTCTTGGCCCCGAGTTTGGCGGTTCGATAGGCTTGATCTTTTCCGTGGCTAATGCCGTCGGCGCAGCTATGTATATTGTTGGTTTCGCCGAGACCGTCCGAGATCTTCTTAGAGATGCAGACGTGCGTATTGTCGACGGAAATTTGTGGGATGTGCGCATAGTGGGATTCGGTACGTTACTTACCTGATGTACCTCGAGGGTCGACTTGTTAATAGAAAAAACATGTTTTTGCAATGAAGCAGGGTATTCGGTTTTGCGGTATGTAGAAACAGAACAACTTTTTTGGTCGTGTATTTGAAATGAAAACAAGATGAGATGATTTGAAGGTAGTTGTAGAGCTTCTTTTAGGGCTACAGTTTCAGTTGCCATCTAAAATATAGATCCTACGAAGTGTGCTCTTCCATTCTCAGAATTGTTCTGAGGTGGCTGCTTGAATTTGCCACTGAGCGTTTGAAGGAGCAGAAAACGAGTGTTTTTCTGAGCAGAAAAATGAGCGTTTTTTCTGGGATAAAAACAGCTGGTAATATATTCCCAGCGCCTGAATGAGACAGCCGGAGTGCGGAATATATCTCACCTAAAAGTATTTATTTTACAGAGTGCTGGAAAGAAAAGATTACCACTGTTCCATTTAAACGCTAGGAATAATGTTACTACTGGTTTTATAGTATTTGGAGACTCAGTTTTTTTCTCCAATAAACGCTCATAATTCCTCGTCCAGGAATGCGCCGCAGATAAGGAAAAAGATTTGGAACCAGCGTTTTATGCCGTCCACCAGGGTATACAAATCCTCGCAAAAGGCCACTTCGCCCAACCATCCTTCCCTTGTGAGGCGGAAGCTTCCAACCATTGTTGTGAATGCTCGAAAATGTGCTGACGTTCTTCAGCAAACGTCAGTCAGTGCTTGATGAACTAATACTGAGCTGTTCTCACATTAACTGTATACTACAAGCTTTCGAAAGTACTGACCTTTTTCTTTTGAAAGAGCCAGTTTCCGATTACTGGTTTTTGGTATTCTATGCAAAACTTGATATTCTTCGGAAACTAGCGCTTAGGAGGATAGAAGTTTACTGCTGTACTACTAGTTTATGTAATATACAGTTACGGGAAAGCCATAGCGTTGCTTAAAACCTGAAGTTTTCCTTTTTTGTTTTCTAGGTTAGGAAAGATTACACGATGTCGTGGTGGAGTGTAAACGCTGTATGTAGTTGTAGGATTATTTCGTACGGAGTTTTGACTTTTTGTCGTCGTTTTCGGGCATGTGAATCTTTCTAATTTTTAGTTCTGAACTTCGCATAGATCAAAGTTGGTGCAATATTCAGAGCAGCATCTTGTAGAGTTTAGTTTGCTTTATCAAATGATACGCTGTACCTATCGATGGGTTACTGCAGTACGACATGTTTCTATCAACCTGATGCATGATTCCTGTTAAACTATGCATGAGGAGGCCTAAATAGGTTGCCTACAAGATCCAGTACGGCTGTAACACATTTTTTGGCAAGTAATCGACAGAAGTCTCAAGGGTTAAAAATGTGGGGAATTTGTCTCAAATGTATGAATAGAAACGCTACTCCTACGTGTTGAAATTCAATTCTGTCCCGCTAGAGAAGAGAGTCAATTTCATCGTGTTTGAACAACAAGTCGACTATCGCGTTGTTTGATAGTTTCCTGAGAGGCACCGCAGTAAAATAATACTGTTTTGAACTTCAATTTACTTAGATTTGGGCAGCAGCAACTTACATCTGTTTGTAGACAAGTGATTTTTCGCAAACTCAAAAAATCAAGCTATCTAAAAAAATACTGGGAGTAGTTGTTGCCGCTAGGCTTCTCTTCAAGCTTTCAGGATTGCAAGCTTGCAGGATATCCAGAAAATCTACCAGAAATATCGGAAGCCATGATTAACACCAGATTCTGTCGCAACATCATTCCTCCCCCCTCCCCCCCTGGAATTCATTCCCCATTTCCCCCCCCCCCCCCCGCCTTTCCCCTTCCTTGAAATAATTTTGGCTACTACTGGTATATACATATGGACATTGCAAACATACAAGCAGACGCTCCGGTTTATGTATAACGTAAATCAAACATTCCTCTCTTGCAGGAAGTGTAGATTACTGTCAAGATGGCGTCGTAAGCCACATTTTTTGAGTTGCCCGGGAAAAGTTTGCAAAGTTGGCTAACGCTACGTCTTGGATAAAAATCTTTTCTCTCTCCTTTTTCGAAGAGAAAAAAAATGTGGCTACTGATATGAACGCATACTAATGGTTCGAAAGGAGAGGGGGGGGGGCGACAGAAATGCTTAGTAAAATGAGCGTAGCGTTGGCCATGCCTTTTGAGACAACTTTCGGGACGCCATTTTATTTTTCGTGGTTATAAACCTGAACTTTTGAAGAATCGCCCTTTCGTGTTCCCCATTGGTCCCCCCCCCCCCTCTCGATAATGGTGCAGAATTTTCGAAAATGGCCTACATGGACAATGACTTGTTTGACTTGTAAACAGTCAAAATATTTTCCGCAATTCTTCTTGGTATTCAAATGAGCTTTATAAAAAAGTTTTTCGGCGGAATATGTGCTTGCAAGGAAATTTCTTAGAATGCAATCTATGAATCACAGAGAGACTAAAGCTTGCACTTTTTTCAGCAGTAACTATAGCAGGACATTTTACAGTGACGTGCGTCGTTTTGATCACTATCATATTCGTCGGCACTTCGTTCGAATCCAAGATGCAGATGTTCCTTCTGGCAATACTATCAGCATCTATAATTGATTTTTGGATAGGATCAGTTTTTCCACCCAGCGAGGAAGCAAAGTTGCGAGGAGCTACGGGATATAGCTGTAACGTTCCTCGTCTTTAAGCTGTAAGAATACAGTTGGTTGATTTTTTTCCAGTGAACACCTTATACGAAAATTTACTACCACAATTTCGGGGAGAAAACTTTTTCTCGACCTTTGCTGTTTACTTCCCAGCAGCAACTGGTATGATGGCTGGCGCGAACATTAGTGGAGATTTGGCGGATCCACAGGTTGGGCTGAGTATAATTAAAAGTCATTCATGTCGACACTAAAATAATTTTAGCGTGCGATTCCACTTGGGACACTCTTAGCAATTGCTATCACCACAGTGATCTACCTAGCTACGGTTTGGATGACTGGGACTACTTGTGTAAGGTGTGTTTTAGCGCTTTCTTTCGCATCCCGGTTTGTTGTACAGTTCTTCTTGAAATACCCATCTTTTGCATGCCTACATGTGTAATAGGATATACCGTCGAGTCGATAAGCCCACGGACCGGCCGTAAGTTGCGGAGCACGTGCCGCGCGGCCAAACGCTTGTACCAGTACAAATCGCTGTTGTGCGTGTCGTGCTTCCGTGACGTTCGGTCGCGCCGCGCGTGGCCGCGATCTGCGGCATTCCTGCGGTCGACGAATCGACGACACTGTTTGGCGAAAAAATCTATGTTCAGAATATTTTTGCTGTATAAGATTTATCCTATTTTTGTCTCGCTTGTCAAATGCAGTTTTGTAGCAAAAGGATGTTCAAGTCTTTTTTACAGAGATGCAGATGGTATATCACCTCCCATGTGGAATGGCACAACTTTTATACCTCCAGAGTGCGCGTCTAATTATACTTGTCCGTATGGCCTTATGAACTATTATCAGGTAACTCTCGAATTTTTTGAACCTTGCAAACTCTTTGTTTCAAAAAATTATTAAGATCTCTTTTTACTGCACGACCATGTCAGCATTCCTGTTTAGATTATGGAAATGGAGTCACTTTGGGGACCTCTAATTACTGCCGGGATTTTCGCCGCCACGCTTAGCTCAGCGCTTGCATCTCTTGTGAGCGCACCGAAAGTTTTTCAGGTAATTTCTCAATGCTCAACCGCACATGATTAAACCTTTGCGATCGCTTAGGCTGTTTGCAAAGACCGTCTCTTCCCAAAAATTGACTACTTCGCAAAAGGTTATGGAAAGAATGATGAGCCCAGAAGAGCGTATGGTCTCACGTTTATCATTGCTATGGCTATAATTGCTATAGGTTAGCCGTCAGAATTGCACAGATGCGATTGCGAAAAGGATTATCTTAAATAACAAAACTTCATGATTCAAGGTGATCTTAATATCATTGCTCCTATCATATCCAACTTCTTTCTTGCTTCTTACGCTCTCATCAACTATTCATGCTTCGATGCATCGTTCGCGGATTCACCAGGTAAACGTCATATTTATCAACCCTGGGAGAGTGTTATATTTTATATTTCTTTGACTTTTTTTTCAGGTTTTCGTCCTGGATTTAGATATTACAATATGTGGGTATCATTAGCCGGGGCGCTACTATGCCTCACAGTAATGTTCATAATGAGTTGGGCCACGGCGTTGATTACATTCATCTGTTTTGCTGCTCTCTTCCTTTACATCTTACATCGCAAACCAGGTATAATTTCGAAAAATTTAGTACAACAAGAAACGAACTATTTTTAGACGTAAATTGGGGCTCATCTACACAAGCGCACAGCTATAAAACCGCCCTTGCGGGCATGATCAAGCTATCCCATACTGAAGAGCATGTCAAGAACTATAGGTACGTTTGAGCAGGAGGATTGAAGTTTGGAAGTATATATGACATTTCAGACCACAATTCCTCGTCTTGTGTGGAAATGCTGCAGCGAGACCATCTCTGATTGACTTCGCTTACAATATTACGAAGGGATCCTCTCTCATGATCTGCGGTTATGTTGTCCCTGTTAGTACCTCCCTTTGTATCTGATTTTTCTGCCTTCTTCATCCTTCATAAAGAAATTTTCATTTGCAGTACAACCCATCCGAGCGAGTATATTCCGTGATGCGGAAGCTAGAGCGTCAGCTGAGCGAATGGCTACGGAAGAGGCACGTAAAGGCTTTCTACACTGCTGTCGCTAACGTCAGTCTCCGAGCAGGTGCTCAGTCGCTGCTACAAGTAAGCGGATTTGTGGATTATATCATATCTTTGCTACACTTCTTTCTTTCAGGTATGCGGGCTTGGTAAATTGAGACCAAACATCATTCTCATAGGATTCAAGTCGAATTGGTATCGTTACGGTGCCATACCAGAGACTTTGGATGAGATGAACGAATACTTCGGCACTATCCAGTAATTCTCTCTTGTTTTGGGAAGTACATGCTCTAATGATAAATTCAAGAGACGCCTTCGACAACAACATGGCAGTGTGTGTACTTCGGAATGGAAATCTCGGTCTTGATTTTAGCGAAGCGATGAAACTCCTAAACGTAGGCGAACATAAACGACTGGACATAAATCTGGATGAAAACGCTGAGAAAGAGAAGTAAGCAGTTAATCATAACTCAGCTTTAAAGCTAGTAATGTTCGCTCTGTGCAGATATTGGCAAAGATAATTCGAACGTAAAGTAGCAGTTTCACCTCGAAAATCAGTAGAGCGCATTATATTAAACAGGCATCTTGTTTACCAGTCGCTCAGCACTTGCTGCGGTAGATTTCTTTGAAGGAGAAAAGTTTATATCGCAAGGAAGGCAAATTTGCAAGATCGTTGTTCAATGGCTTGAGTCGTGGAATAATCTCCTAATTGATCTGCATTTTGACACCTATCGGCTTGCTTTTCTTCTTCCAGAATCTTGCTGACTATTTTATTCTATTTAGTACAAAATCGCCAACTCGGTTCGGAAAAGGCAACGAAACAACTACTATCGAAGAAAAAAATGAAGAAGAAGAAGAAGAGGAAAAAACTGATGTGAAGCGTGAGTTTTCTTGATATCTAAATGCCTTGTCTGACAGCATTTCGTGGTTGTGATTGACGTGAACGATAGCTTGCTGCTGTGAGTTGCCCGCAATCGCAGATTTATAGCTGCTTGACATTGAATGGCCATTACTGGTTAGGCAAAAACTGTTAGTTAAAACACTATCTTACAAAAAAATTGTCCCAGAGAACGTCTTTACTGTTTGATCTAAATTATCTCTCTTACCTTGATGTCTGTCGTTGACTGTGGTACCATTCTCTAGAACTGCCTTCAAAAATTTATGGCAGGTGCGAAACACCTCGCTCTTTGTTACTGTGTATATAATAAAATAAAAGTAGGAAGTTGCAGTGTGAATTCTTTCAAAATAGCTACTACTTTAGAAAATCCAAAAACGAAACTTTTTGTGGCGAAGTCTTTTAAGCCGATGATTCCAAACAAAAAACCTCATACAGTCGTATGGAAGCGGATGAGATGAAGTGGTAAAGACGGTGTGGTCAGATTTTGTAAGAAAAAAATATTTTACGTGTAGCTGATGTAGCTTTCAAATTTCCACAATAACATGCAATGCTTATTTAGGTCACCGATTGTAATTTGCTCCTTGACATTTTCTGCTCTGTTGAGATTTTTTGAAACAAAATCTGTTGTCAGAGGAGCAAAATTCTCTTACTAGTTCCTACCGTAATCCACAGTTGCAAAAGAGATTGATGCTTTGCATCAAGTTGTACTTTAAGTAGAAGCCAGCTGTACAGAATGATACGTAATCGTCGGCGAGAGGCATCAGGGCATGAGATACTTTGGGGCAAAGAAAAAGGGACATTTTTGGACCCTTTTATAGTTTGTCAGCAGACATATTTGGCTCGACTGGCTGCAGCCAGCTACCGTTCATTACTTAATACTCGAGATGTGATTTTCTGCCTCTACCTACGCTTCACAAAAGTATGTTTAGCACTACGGCACAGGGACAGTGCCCGTAGTATGGAGCGATTTGCAAAGCTTAATCATCATTACATTGCTGGTAATTATAGTGTTGTGCAGTGGAAGTGTTTGACATGTTGGCCTTGGTTCTATTTGCTTAATTTATACTTCGCATGAAGGGCTTACTCTCTGCCGCCACCTCAGGCTATTGAGTTAAGTAGCTAATAAATCGAGCAGTTGAATTCAGTTTTGAGTTCTTGTAAATTCAGTCATGAGAACTTTAAAAGGCTAAAATGCTATGGGACCTTCAAGCCAGTATGCCAACAATTCGGAAGGCGAAAGAATTGCGCAGATGAAAAGGTGGTGTCCGCCTCACCAAAATTTTATTGAAATTCCCCTCAATTTTTTTTGCAAACTCGTAAACCTGATATCTTAGAATTAGGGATGTGACATAAGCATCCCTGAAAAAGTTTCTGAACAACCTGCCTCATTATGAAATCCATAGAATGACTGATTATTCACAAATGAAAACAAGGAATGTTTTCTTAGGATTCACTTAGAGTTAATAATTTGGATAATAATTTCAATAATCTTCATAATTTGCGGGTCAAACTACAATGGAAAATTACCTCTTTGAATCACTTCTGCATTTTCCTGTTTCTTACAAGGGTAGGGTACTCGGTGACCGTGGCCATTCATAATGATTTGTATATCAAAAAATGTTCCTTCTAATGCTGGTTTGAATGCTGTCTTCCATATCTGCGAAATGATAACCTGGATGGAGTCACGATTAATTTCCCAAGAATGAATTGCGCTATTCTTATTCAGATGCTAAATATGCTCTATATAGGTACAAGTACAATAGTACTCTTTCCAAGATTCTCTTCAGTAGCTTCAAACTATAATGGAATTAATTTGGCAATTTTAACTACCCAAAAGTACGCAAAGTTTCTACGAAAAAAAAAATTCGTAACTCCCTTCAAAAGATCGTTTCGCAGATATCGAGCACAGATTTAGAATCAGCGTTTCAAAATGCATCTTACGGTATAAGTCGCATTCCAAACGGCTACGGTCACGAAGTATTCTTTCCTTGTTAGTTCAACCTCTACAAAGCATCTGAATCCTTCCTCTGTTCTATGGGCCAGTTTTGGCCTTCAGAGAACCTAAAAATCCCCTGAACAGGTGATATGCGGCACCGGCCGATTTTCGAATTACATCCAAAAATTTGGAGAAGTAACTCAGGTATTCGCATTTCCCTCTCCCTCCCTCCTCGAGAATGGGTCGCGAAACTTTTGGAAGATACTGACGTGGGGTAAAAATTTTTTTGAAAATTTTCAAATTCAAATTAGCCTTGCCACGCCCCTTTTTTTGAAACTTTGGGGCTAAAAAATTTTCTAGAATGAAGGTGCGTGGCGTTGGCCACGAACTCTTTGGAGAAGAATTTCTTGGAGTGCGTGGCTGATACGACGCACTTTCATTCCAGAAAGTTTTTGCCCCACCCCCCTCCGAAACCCCGGACGGAAATGCTCGGACGCCACTGCAAGTGACACCTCTCTTGAAGAAGCATTTAGTATTCATTTTATTAGGTCGTTTCATAAGTTCGTAGACTTTTTATTTTTGTCGCCGTTTTTCGATGAAGCGGTTGGTTTACGGCAAAGTACCCATACCAATAAAAAGGGAAAATTTTGCTCTACAAGAACTGTTGTTCGTTTTTGGAGCAAACTTGAATCCCCTTCTTTTACAACTTATCAAAGCAAAATTTTTTGAGAGGCAAAAATTGGCGATTGCGGCAACTGCACTTTCCGCATTTGGTCCGTATTCCGCAAGATGTTTCTGTCATAGGTAGGCGGGATGGATAGTAGCAAGCAAGACTGAAACACTGACAAATTTGCAGCATGCCAATATGCATGGAACCTTTTGAACAAGGTCCCAATGGTTGTTGTCTTTGACTGCTGCCGCTTGAGTTTGGCGCGTTGTTCAGCGACACAATGTGTCGGTCCTCCTATCGGAACTTGAGGAATGGATGCGTTCTTCTAAGTGGTGTAGATGTATGAGTACAAGCTCTGACCAACATTTTACGCTTTCTCAAAAAAATTTTTTGACGTGGGAACTTTTTAAAATTGTGCCAAACGCAAAACATCTACACACATGGTAAACGTGCGCTTAATCTTTCTTTATAGCCTCTCTTTGGATATGGAGACTACTTTTATATGCACCGTAGTACCACAGACAGTTGTTTCTCATCACTCATAACAACTTCAAACAAAAAATTCCCACTTGTGGCTCCGTATGCGGATCGAAAGTTGCAGTTGCCGCAATCGCCAATTTTTGCCTCTCAAAAAATTTTGCTTTGATAAGTCGTAAAAGAAGGGGATTCAAGTTTGCTCCAAAAACGAACAACAGTTCTTGTAGAGCAGAATTTTCTCTTTTTATTGGTATAGGTACTTTGCCGTAAACCAACCGCTTCATCGAAAAACGGCGACAAAAATAAAAAGTCTACGAACTTATGAAACGACCTAATATTTGGATGTTGGCTGTCATCGCACGCAGAGAGTAGGCGCCTTTGTGTCTCAAGACAGCCCGGATCCGCAAGAGAGGACAGGTAAGAGTGATGAAACTGTGCATGATTAGGGAGATGCCAATATTCTCCACTAGCTGTCGAACCCGGCTCCCCATCCTTCGTATAGACATACATTCAGCTTTGTTTGTATAGAGTGCCTGTTGGTGCGTTTTAAGTCCATTACACTGTGCACTAAATTACTTATACTCTCTGATTTGACAAGATTGGCGGCTGGTGGGTGAGCTCACGTCTTCGCGGCCGCCTGGCCTGGCTCTGTACCTCTTTTGCGATCATGCTCTCTAGTGATTGAAGCTCCGACTTTCCCACGCTTGTGGTGAGAAAGCAATCGAGGAGCACGAGAAAGGTGCAGAGCCAAGCAGCCCCGCCCCTCAGCCGCCAATCCTTCTCTCTCCCCCCCCCCCCCAGAAACCTTTCGGGGTCAAGTCTTCAATCTTGAAAAGTTTTTCCTTGCCTCGACAAGGTTTTGTTGTCCTTCAGTCGTCCGAATAGTTGCGTTCCGCATTTTTCTTGTCGTGTGGATCCAGTCTGGATGGTCCAAACGCCATATTGTGATGCTATTCTCAATGATTACGCTCATACATTTGAGGCCGATTAGTCTGGAACAAACTCTTTCAATAAACAATTCCACATTTTTGAGATTTTTCGTATCAATTTTACTTTCGCGAGATGGCAAGGCAGAAGATTTTTTGTTTGTATATTAACGCTCCACTGCTTACTAACAGCATCTATCTATTTCAGCTTCAAATACCCTGGCTGATAATTACGACTCAGATGATGCCGAGGTTAATCGGAGTTTATTGTTTTATTATAACATCGCGAAAATTATGCCAAAAATTTATTGTCAAGGACGAACACTGTGACTGCAAAGAAGACGATGATAGATGCGAAAAGTGTGAAGAGGAAAAAAGAGCTAAAGACGTCGAAGCAGGGGATGCACAGCCTCATTTGAGTGACGATCCCAAAGAGAACAAACACACATTTTCTTTGCGCAGGCGGAGGTAATTTTTGCCTGTTAATTTTTTTTTTGCAAAAATCGAGATCAGCGAGCGATTTTGGTTCTTTAAAGATTTTCGAAATCGGACTACTCCAATTCTAATTCCTCGTACGTTTTCATCGTGAATAACTGTGCATGTGTTGTGCTTATTGCGCATGTTGTGCATCATTCTTTGTTGAATATCATGTAGTGGGCAAGCATTAGGATCGTTTTTTAGCACCCGTCGACCTACTACGGAGCAGAAAGCTTTGCTTGCATCCATATCGAGGTTCCAGAAAAAGGTTAAAAAGGTGAACCATTTTACAAGGTTTTTATTGAACCGCAGCTTGTGGGCGATAAGATCTAAAGCATGGGTATTGCGTGTCAAAATTTTTTTAAGGGCATCATTGACGTGTGGTGGCTGTACGATGATGGTGGTCTCACGCTTCTTCTACCACATTTGTTAACAATTCCCAAAAGTTATTTGGAAGTAATGATTAAATAGTCAATCACAACTGTCATAGCAATCTTGTACCTCTAGGGAGCTAAACTGCGTGTTTTTACCATCTCGACCAGTTCGCGGACTATGGAGCAAGAACAGCGAAGTATGGCTGCTCTTCTATCAAAGTTTCGGATCAATTTTAGCGACGTCTCTGTCATCTCTGATATTGGTCGTAAACCTCAGTCTGAAACGTGAGTCGAAACTTTGATGATCTGTATGTTGAAATGAAGAAGTTTTACTATCCATTAGCGCATATCTCTGCAACCGAAACGGCTCTTTGTATTTCCTTGATTGTTTTGCAAATCTCCAGCTTCTAAGAAATCGATTCAGGTACTCTGAGTGGGAAAAGGTCATTCGTCCTTTCATCGCTTCTGATGATGCTAAATGTCTTCCTGGCATGACAACTCGAAGTGAGCTGGATGCACAGAAGCAGAAAACATACAGGCAGTTACGTGCTGCTGAACTGCTTCGTGAGCATTCCATCGATGCGGATCTCATTGTTATGTGAGTCTTGCTTCATACCCTCTTCGTTAGAGAAGTTATTTTTTGTAGGACATTGCCTGTACCTCGGAAGGGAATGGTCAGCGCTTCGCTGTATCTTTCTTGGCTGGATATAATGACCAGAGGAGTTCCTCCCACATTGCTTGTTCGAGGAAATCAAACTTCTGTATTGACTTTCTACTCCTAAAAATATTCTTGCTTTTTTCTATGAGGTTAGCAGCGATGCTATGTTATACAACATTTATTGTTATGGGCATGCTATTTTTCTATTGAGCCGATGGTTCTTGTAGTTATGCTATTTCGCATAAATGCAAAAGGGCGAGCTCTGCCGGCTTCTTAATGTTGTGCATACATGTGATTCATATGTTGTAATACATTCATCGTATTTGTTCATTCTTTGAACGTAGATCCCGCATAGAGTTTGTGTAAGCCACTGGTATCTATTAAAGTGCCTTTTTAGCACTGCATTGTTGTGGTTATATATCGATTATCCAGATTCAAATATTCTCAGATCATTTGTTGACTTGATTAGATGCAAGTTGCAATAAAAATCAATAAGGTTGGTTTTGTTTGTGTTCTCAGCACTTTAGAGAATTTGACTTTGGCAACTGCCTCGGAAGTATTCGGTTGTCCCGAAAGTTTTGTCGGTTTTTTCAAACCCTCTATAGAACCACGTAGACTAAAAACCTAATTGAGTTTCAAGATGCTTTCGATGCAGCTTTTCCTTCCCTTTCTTATGGTTACAATTTCGGACCGCAATCCTGTATGCTTTTTTTTATAATTGTCCATTTCTTCACTCGCCTTTTATCTGCTCAAGGTTAGGCTAATTTCTTGGAAAAGGTAGTGTATGGAACAAATAGAGCAATTCTGGAACTTGAACTGGAACGGTGATATAGATCCTCCTAATCTGCTGTTATTAGCTTTGAAAGATTATTTCTTCGGAGGCCTCGATTTTTGCCTAAGTCATGGAACACAGAGCTGCTGCAAAAACATGAAAGGTTTTGAAGTTTTTGCGAATTCAAACTTGATTGTTATTAAACATTATTTATGCAACGTAACCAAGTTTGATTTGCTTCCAAAATCAGCTTTTTTGAATTTTCGGTAATCTTACGTGGTAAATGAATGTATTAAAAAAGGCGCGGCTTTTCTCAAATAAATAATTATGACGGACTTGATAAACGTGGCTCATGTAATCTAAAGTAGGTACTGTGTAATCAAAGGTTTGCTCTACATAACAGTCACCAGCGCTTTATCAGTATAAAAATTTTCAAAATTTAGGAAAGATTTGGCGCTACTGCTGAGGTGCTCAAAAAGCCATGGCGATAACATCGCAAAGATGCGGTAGATCAGAGAGCAAATCTAGCTGTAAGAAAGAAAATAAAAGTCTAAACAGAATAGTACCCAAGTCGTTCATGGATTGGTGTTCTGTGAGTTTTGGTAAGCGATGAGCCGACATAACTTTCGGGACAACCTAATAAATTTGATAAAGTGGATGACAAATAGGGTCGATCATAAAAAGTTCTTAAATACAAAGAAAATAAAGAGAAATGATGAGAAATCAGCAAAGAACGGTTCTATGAGCTAAAACGAGCTGGTGCAATAAGGTGGGGGAAGTTTCTCACCCGACCTATATTCTCGCACCTAAGTGATGCGCATACCAGGCAGATTCGGACTTACTATAATTACGAGCTGATACCAAGATATTGCAAGCCCCGCTCCCTTATCCGGTGTCACTTCAGATGCTGGAACCGAGATTTCATGACAGTTTCAAAATCGAAGTTTAGTAGATTGCTCCATAAGACCAAAATTCAGTTTTAGGGGGTTTTTGAGGTTGCTCTTTCCAGTAGTGGGAATTGTTTGTTGGAAAGTCAAGGCTCAGCACCGATAATGCCCAACCAAGACCGAACATCCGGATTTTTCGAAATTTCTTCAGAACAAGGCCAAAATTCACCTTCACAGGTTTTGGAAAAATTATGAATCAACTATTGAAAGGAATAGCGTTTGCATAAATTTGATGGCTGTTTTCAAAATAATGAAGACGTTTTCCTTAATTGTTTGGCATCATTCCAAGCTTTCAAGGTCTACTACGAAGCTTTCTGGCGTTGGGAGAGCCTTACTGATCTCAGCGACCTGTGGTATTTCAAGAAATACTTGGCTGGGCTATCATCATGCTGTACCTTGACATATTTTTGAAATTGAATTCAGAAAAGAAGAAGCCAGTACGGAATCACATAATCTCGACTCATTTGTAACTTAATATGTGAGATTACACACTGAGCCCTACTAGCGACGGCCCCATACTAGTAACTTCCCAGTAAAACATTTTCTAATCCAACAAAATGTAGAAATGTGTTCTACTGAGTAACATACTAGGTTGTCCCGAAAGTTTTATCCGTTTTTTTCAACCTATCATAAAAACGCGTGGAACGAAGATAGGGAAATGCTCTAAGCACTATCCGACGCATCTTTTCCTTCTCTTTCTGACTGTCAACACCACATGCCGATTACTCTTTTGCTCACTGAGATAAACGCCGAAATCTCGAACCCATGGTTTTTACTATGTCCAAGTTTGGCAATTTTTCACAATCTTTATTTTTGACTTTCGAAAAAGCTTTGGCAACAGTCAGATAGAGCAAACAAAGGGCAATATAATGCAATTTTGCGGCATCTATAGCCAGCCTTGAAAATTTTTTAGAATTATTTTTCTGGTGATATGAAATTCCACTTTTGGTGATGCCAAAAGCCAGAGATCATGAAACGGCGCACAACTAAGGTGTCATTCGATGCAGCTTTTCCTCCTCTTTCCAGTGAGTATATTTTCTCTCCAATTTTCGAGGTCTTTGGCGATAAAACTTTCATAATTCTTGAATTTGACCCCACTCCAGCGTGTACACGTAAAATGCAAAATCTTATATTTCGAGGCGGTAAACGCTCATTTTCTTCGTAAAAATAGTGAATAATCGTAATTAATTTTTGAAAGCTTTAAAATGCGATAATTTGTTAGTGTTCGAGGCGTTTCTGTATTTTAGAACTTCGCAAAAGTGAAGACTTTTGAAAAAATTATCTCAAAAAATATTGAAAAGCCGGCTGGATAAGCCAAAAAAATTGCATTGCATTGCCCTTTGTTTACTCTATCTGAGCGCTATCAAAGGTCTTCCAAAAGTTGAAAATGAAGATTGTGAAAAATTGCCAAACTTGGACATAGTAAAAACCACGGGTTCGAAATTTCGGCGTTTATCTCAGTGAGCAAAAGAGTAATCGGCATGGGATCAAGACATTTAGAAAGATGAGAAAAAGCTGCGTCGGAGAGTACCTGAAACATTTCCCTATCTTCATTCCTCGTGTTTTATGATAGGTTGAACGGACAAAACTTTCGGGACAACCTAATATTAGGTCGTTTCAAAAGTATTTTCGCTTTTTTCAAACGGGCGCCACATTTGATGGAACTGAGGTTTCTAAGAGATTTTAGAGGTATTCGATGCAGAATTTCATTCTCTTTCCAAAGGTTATGAAACTGCAGCAAAACAGTCAATGAGCTTTCAGAAAATAACCAAAATCTGCGACCCATGCTTTTTGAGATGGTCAAGTTTCACAATTTTTTAAAACTTTCATATCAATCCTCAAAAGGAGTTCAAGTAAGGATTCGATAGAGTAAACTTATAGAATACTGTACTACTTTTTTCTTTTTTTCCTAGCTCGCCGTAATTTTTTAAAAGATTTTTCAAGAAATCCATCGGATTTTGGCAGGCCTACGTCAGCCACAATCGCATCAAACAACGGTAATTATTCGGAATTTGAAACTTCCAAGATCGTATATGACTTAATATTAGTTTTACAATGCAAGTGAGAGTTTACGGATTCGAAATATCAAATTTCGGGTTTTTCGGATACAGCCTGGGGCTCGCTAAAAAAATGAGTCATGATGATTTCTCCCCGGAAACTAAACGAATCGGAAACAAAAACACCTGTTAGAAAGAGGAGAAAATACTGCATCGAATACTGCGCGAGCTGCTCTTCTTTTGATATTCTACGAGGATTTAGCTGCCGTATGGAATTCGGTAGCATTAGTCAAAATTCTGTCAAAAATGTATAACAAGCTATGGAAAGGAGAAAAAAGCAGTGCTGTATTCTATAAGGTTTACTTTATCGAATCCTTATTTGAGCTCCTTCTGAGGATTGATATGACAGTTTTAAAAAAATTGTGAAACTTGGCCATCTCAAAAAGCATGGGTCGCAGATTTTGGTTTTTTCCGAAAGATCGTTGTATGTTTTACAAGATTTTTATAACCATTAGAAAGAGAATGAAATTCTGCATCGAATGCTTCAAAAATCTCATAGAAATATTTATTCCGTCAAATGTGGTGCCCGTTTGAAAAAAGCGAAATTACTTTTGAAACGACCTAATATAACTAACTAATACAAAATAAATAAGGAAACAAGGAGAAAACACTGGAAATGAGCAGCTTCTACTTCCACAGTTCGTCAGTTAGCCTGTATAGTGTGCACTACGCATATTAAATTACGAATGACTCGACGATTCGTGTTTTGGCATTTAGCATTTCGTTTCTAGGACAATAATTCGATTGGCTTCGTAAGAGAAACATTTTTGTCTCTAAAAGAAGTTCAAAAATCAAATCACTGCTGATATTGCATAAACATACTTCATTTTCGAAAAAGCATTTTCGAAAACCTGTAAACCTGAACTTCGGTCTTGCTAAAGGAGGAGATTCTGAAGACTTTTGAATCAGAGTCTCATGGTTGGGCATGATTGCTACTGAGCCTTGACTTTGTTGCAAACGAATTTCACTACTGAAAAAAGCAAAGAACCCCTAAAACCGAATTTTGGTCTTAATTGGAGGAATTCGCCACTGAATTTCTTGAAACTGTCATGAAATCCCGGTTCCAACCTGAAATGACACCGGATAAGAGAGCGCAGCTTGCAATATCTATCCTGGGAGCTCGTAATTATAGCAAATCCGAATGTGCTTGGTATGCGCATCACTTAGGTGCGAGAATACAGCTCGGATGAAAAACTTCCCCCCCCCCCCAATGTAGTGCAATAATGTAATCACACGAGAGCCCTCTGGATTGGACCTTGGAAACGGCTTTTCTGCACCGCTAAACTTAACAGGCTAACACTGTGCGTCTCTGATTGTTCGGTGCCGCGACTGGATAGGTGAGAGAGCTAGGCTGCCGTTAGAGACACGGGCAAGAGTTATGCGAAAGCACCTTCCCAAAAAGAACGAACAAAGAAGATCTCAAGTTTTGGACAGAGCTCAAAATTGTTACTCGTAATTGTTACTCGGTCAAAACGCTCAAAATCTATCATATAGTAAAGAGAGCGAATCAAATCATTGACTCTCCTCCTTTTTTTGAGCCAAAAGAGTGTAAACCTACGCCTTGATAGATATCACGCTCCAGTCACATGCGGCGTCCTATGAACTGTGTGGTGACAAATGCATTTCCAGATTATTGAGGCCACAGATTTGGTTGGCCTAGGAGGTTTTTGACATTCTGAGCACTAAAACGGTCGTCAGGAAAAAATTAACTCGTTTTGGTTT